TATAGGTCCACCAGTGCATTATTGTTAGACCATTTTGGAAAACATTTTGAACTTATGCAAGTAAAGTTATTAAAATATCCACACTCTTTAACTCCAAGATTCCACTACAAAACATATCCCCCAAGGAGGTCACTGATAAAAAGAAAGTCCCCATAGACACCAACATATTTACAGCAGCAATTTTTTGTGGTAGCAAAAGACTAGAAACAAAGTAGACATCCGTTGATTGGGAATGGCTAAACAAAACGTGGCAAGATAGGATTTTCCCCCACAGACACTGTGTGTATTTGTGGGGGAGTATGGCCCAGATTTATGGGGGGAGGTGCTTTATAGTTACTGTTGTCACCATGTCATCTTAGTAAATTGCCTCTGCTAAGATCTAATCGTGTGTGCTAGGTAATTTTTAATAGGAATATCTGTAGAGTCATGTGATCATAGGATTATAGATTTAGAGCTGAAAGGAACCTTAGAAGTCATTAAGTCCAACCTCCTCATTTTACAGATGAGGAAACTGAGACCCAGAGAGGTTAAAGTTTTGGGTTTTTTTTGGAGGCATTCATGGTTAAGTGACTTGCCCAGGGTGACACAGCTAGTAAGTGTCTGAGGGCAGATTTGGACACAGGTCCTCTTCCCTCCATTGCACCACCTAGCTGCCCCCCAGAGAGATTGTCTTGAGGTATAGTGGTAGGAGTACAGAGAGACCAACCCATAGAACCTGAAATAGCCGCTGCTCTCTGAAGAACCAGTCTTTTGAATTCAAGGATGAATTGGGGTTCACTTCAATAAAGAGCTTTGTAGCTTAAAGCACTTTCTTCACAACAAACCAGGGGTAGAGGTATAAGTATTACTATCCCCATTTGGCAAATGGAGAAACTGAGGCTCAGAAGGGCGAAGTGACTTGCCCGTGGCCACACACTCAAGGAATGGCAAGGCCAAAACTCAAGCACTGGTCTCCTGACTCTTAGTTACCCTCATCCCTTTCAGGGACCATTGACCCACAGAGATCATAACCCTAGAATCACCTCCCATTGACCCAGTATCCTGGTCTTTGGGCAGCCTTCCTAGGCAAAAATCGTCCCATCCTATCTTTAGATAAAAAACGGAAGTCTTTATTGACCTGGTTGGGGAAGGGATTGGAAGCCGAGACTTCCCAGAGTCAACTGAAGGACTAACAAATGAAGAGCCAGTACGTGGGGTTGGGGGAGAGGGGAGACAATCTTCCTTAAAGTCAAAGCCATCCGCAAGCGGCTGCCTCAGGAGGTGAGGAGCGCCTAATCATGGGAGATGTTTAAGCAGATTCCTATTCCTGCTGGATGTTACAGAGGGGAGTTTATTCCACTTCCAGCTGGGAAGAGATCAGATCTGAAGTCCCTTCCAGCTCTGAGATCCCGCAATCTCATAGTCTATTTTCTAGGGCATGATCGATGGAGCCATCTAACTAAATGCTGCTATTTACGTGCATAAGAGACCTCACATTGGACTTAAGCTACCCCCTCCCCGAGGATTTAGATAAAGGATCACCACCCTTCAAAAGGCCACTTATTTAAGCCTCCAGAAATTAAAAATGGAAGCACTTCCTATGGCCTCGTGTCATACGTATTTGCCTCCGTGTCACATCCACCATTACCAAATTGTATATTCCTTGAAGGCAGTGACTGTATAATTTTCCATCTTGGTATTTCTCAACAACAGGCCCATAGCCTGGCACTTAATAGTCATTTAATACATTTTCAACACAATGTTCAGTAAAAAAAAAGTGTAAGCTCCTTGAGGGCAAGGACTTTTTTCTTCTTTGGTCTTTGTACCCTCAGGGCCTACCATAGTATCTTGTTCCAATTTGGTGTGTAATGATGCTGGTTGGATGGGAGTGAATCCAATTCACTATTTTCTGTTTCCTCTGGATGCTGAATCCCTCTTCTCTCCCCTTTCTCTCTCTGATTTCCCCTTCTCTTCTTGCCTCTGCCTAGGCTAAAAGGCTAAGCTGTCCCCCCTTTCTGACTGAAACCCCAGTAATTTCACCAAAGAGCTCTTTTTTCTTCTGGACCCCTGAAGGAGTAGGGGCATGTGTGTGCCCCACCTCTGCCAACTGTCTTTCTACCAAAGAACAAGCATATTGAGATTTAGGGGCAGAAAGAGGAAATTCAGAACACAAGGGAACTGGTCAGTGTTGAACCAGGTGGTAGTGAGGAGAAGTCAATAGGCTGAGGCCAGGCTGCGCATTCGTGAGTATTTGGAGTCAGAGGACCTGGGTTCAAATCCCAACTATGTCACTTACTAGCTATCTGACCTTGGCCAAGTAACTTCTCTGACCTTCAGGACTCCTCTGTAAAAAATGATGGGATTAGACTAGACTCTTCCACCTTGAAATCTATGATCCTTCCCTGGTGAAGCCCCCCCATCTTACAGCCTCTCCCTACTCTTATCCTACTCCACACAGACACTTCAGACAGAAAGCCTTTAGTGTTCCTCTATCCTGTACTCCACAGCAATTCGTAGCCATCTGCTCACCTCCCCAGTTAGCCTGGCTCCCAGCAAGGGTCTGGAATCCAAGGTTCCATTTGGCAGGGGAAATATGAGAGACCTCTGTGACAGAATGCAGCATGCCATGGGTGATGGGGCCAGTCAGAGATGAGGCCTGGGAGTGGAGGGAATGGCCATTGCAGTGAGGATAGGATACCTGCCTTACACCTCGGGCTGTTAGGGAAATTCTCTGCTACGCTCTTGCCTGACTGCTGATGCCTAACATCACTCTTGGGGCAGCATTGGGGCAGCATGTGAGGCAAAGGGATGTCCACAAAGAGGAAGAAGCTTCCCTTCTGGGAGTGAAAAATGGTCTGTGCACAAGCACAGATATGAGGGAGGGCAGGACAAGATTCAAGAACAGCCAGTGGTCTAGTTTGACCAGAGCATAGAGTGGACGAAGAGGACTACTGTGAAATAAAGATGGAAAGTCAGGTTGGATACAGATAGCAGATGTCCCTAAAAGTCAGGGTGGGGAGTTGGTGTTTTGTCCTAGAGGCAATGGAGAGCCATTGAAATAGAGGAGTGATGCAAGGGAGTTGACCTTTGACCAGCCTCCCAACTCAAAAAGCCCAGAAGCTAATGATAAAGTATTAAACTAACCATAAATATGTGTTGAGGCCCTGATCCTTGTGGGATGCATGAACACTTTTTCCTGATGGAATTAATAGGAACAAGATTTGATTAGCAAATACCTTTGTAAAATTTTACATGGCTAAGCCCCAGGGATAGAAATAGATCTAAAGGCAGTTTAGGCTACAGAGTACTTTGCAGAGGACACTTCTGTGGAGGAAACATGCATTTATTGAATGCCTACTATATTTCAGTACTATGCTAAGTAATATATATGTACATATACATATACATATACATACATGTATACATATACACACACACATATACACTCTCATTTGATCCTCACGGCAACCTGGGAGGTAGGTGCTGTTATTGTCCTCATTTTACAGACAAGAAAACTGAGTCTAAGAGAGGTTAAATGAATTGTCCAAGGTCACAAAGCTAGTAAGTATCTCAGGCTGGATTTTAATTCATATCTTCCTGACTCAAGTCCAGTGCTCTGTCCTCTGGATAGAGATGGAGAGAAGGAGGAGGAAATTTCTATATCCTTATTCTCCCATCAGTTATGGGGTTTAGCAATAGATCAGGAGATACCCCATCCAGCAATTGGAGAGTTGTTGACTTGAGAAAAATTTAAGGCATAATTGAAGGTGCAGAGAAATGCACACTCCATACAAATGCAGGTCCAGAAAGGCAGTCACTAGAGGGAGGAAGCAACTTCAAGGACATGACTTTCTCTGCTTGGCAGCGGGGAAGACAGCCAGCTATGGAGATGAGCAGACCTTGGTAACCTAGCTGAGCAAGCAACCAAGTGGAGTTGTATAAGGGCATATACAAGAGAGAAAGAACTTTCAGACTCTACAATACCAAAGGTTGTGAGTTGCATTTGTCACATACATCTCCTATACATGTTGTGCCTCACTATCATTGTACTCAAAATTTGAACCCTCTCTTCCTATAGACATCGGGCATATTTATAGAAGAGTATATCCCAGGTTTATGGAGAGAGGGTTTTACAGATATTGTTTGTACATCATCTTAGTCAATGTCTTTGCTCTCAGAGCTAATTGTATCTACTGGCTGATTATGAATGAGAAATATGCCAGTAGGGGCTTGTGAGTGCCACCCACTCAGGGTAATTCTAGAACCCTGAGTTTAGCAGTCACTCTCCAGAGACCCAACTAATAAAGGCAAATCTAAGTTGGGGGAGAAACCCAGAGAGAGGACTACAGGGGCATGGTCAGATCTGTGCTTTAAAAAGATTTTTTTGACAACTATGGGACTAGAAGCCCCTTCTTCTCTTTAATTATATGTTCTCCCTTTTTTCCCCATCTGTCTCTCACAACCTTGCTTCAATGGAACTCATACTTCATGTTCATCACAAGCACTGGTCCCCTGCCCCTACCTCTGTTCTCCCATTATATTGGTTCCACTTTTCTCCCCAACCAGCCTTCAAAACTGCGTTCCCCTCCAATCTATAGTTCCTTGGTTCCCTGTCTTTCAGCTCACCTTCCCACCCATACCTTCACTTTCTCTGCCTTCCTCAATTGTCTTTCAATCTTCTCTTCCTTTCTGTCCCTAAGAAATGTCCCAGAAATTGTCAGAACTCAGAGGACCTTATATAACATACAATAAAATGATAAAACATTACAACTGGTAGGGAAATTATGATGGAATGTTAGAGCTCAGAAAGTCGGAGCTGGAAGAGTGTGGAATGTAGAAACTGGGCGGGGCCTCAGGACAGAGAATGTCAGAGAGTTTAGAATGCAGAATGTTTGAGCTGAAAGGGGCCTTAGAGAATTTCTTAAACTCAGGATTTTTTTTGCTCTCCTCCTTCACAGGCACGGGGTCACTTGGCCAACACCAATTTTCTCTGCCTGGGTGTGTCTCACTCCCTTCCTGGCTTCTTTCTCTCTACTGTGTAGTGGCCAGAAATGCAAAGCCCCCGAGGCTCTTGCGGACTTCTTGGGGGCCGTTTTTAGGAAGTTTCAAAGTTAAAAACTCCACACAGCAAAACCCCAGAGTCTGAAGACTTCCTCTCTGGCTATGTTGAGGGGGAGGGGCCTGGAGCCCCAAGAAGACTAACATGTTCCACCCTGGGTGACACATCCTCTGTGTCACAGAGGCATAGAGGCTACCATCACAGGGGACAGGGACGGCCAGGTCAAGCAGAGGCACAGGAGAAAGCAGAAGCAGGCAGGAGGGGGATTTGCCCTCCTCTCTGGGGGCTCAGCATGAATTTGTGTCATCCAGGTAAGTCTCCAGGGGCAGGGCAGGTCCTGAAGAGAGGGCATTGTCATCCTAGAAAGGAGAACTGAACAGAAAAATTGAGGGGAGGGAAGAAAGTGAAGGAGACAGCTGAGCTCTGTGGCCTTGGGCAAATCACTTGCCTTCTCTGAGACTCAGTTTCTTCATCACTAAAATATTTAAATCTCATGATCCTATAAAAGGAATGCCCCACTCCAGCCTGGAGATGGGTGGCCAGGAGGAGCATTTCATTGTGAGAAATGGTCCATCTTACTTTTCTCTCCTTTACCCATGGGCACTTCATGGCCAGCTTAGCCCCAGGAGGAAGAATCAGGAGCAATGAGAAGAGAGGCAGATTGCAGCCTGATGTAAGAAAAAGCTTCCTAAAATTCAGAGCTGGGCCAAAGGGGAATGGAGTGAGCTCCCCATCACTGGGGGGGGTCTTCAAGGGGAGACAGAAGTACTACTTGTGAGGGATATTGTAGATGGGATTCCTGGTGACATCCAGATGGGGCCAGATCCCTCCAGAGAGGTCCCTTCTACCACTCAGTTTCTGTGATTAGGAGTCATCACTGTGAGGGCAAGAAAGGGGAAAAGAGGGAGGGGGAAAGGGATCATGAATTCACTCCTTCATTTATGTATTCTTTAAATAGTTATTAAGCTTTTCATGTGTGCAAGATACTTGTCACAGTTCACTTTGAGTATAACAGCATAGAATTGAGAGTTAGGAGAAACCTTCCTTAGAACAGGGAACATCAGAACTAGTAGGGACCTCAGAACCTGGAATATCGGAGGTGGGAAGATCCTTAGAACAGGGGATGTCAGAGCTGGGAGGGGCCTTAGAACAGGAGATGTAAGAGCTGGGAGAGAGCTTAGAACATGGAAAGTCAGAGTCTGGAGGCATCATTTAATCCAGGCTCAGAAGAAAAAAAAATCAATGAGAGGTCCAGGTCACAGAGGTTCTCTCTTTTGCTGCTTGAGGATTTCCCACAATTCCCTTGTCCTATGGAGATAGATGGCAGGGGGTTAGGGAACAGGGGGAGTCTGGAAATCATCTTTTCCATTTCAAGAATCAAGTTATGAATTGTGTTTGTGTGATTCAGTAACTGCCTGGACTCCCATCCCTAAGATGCTCTGATCTTAACAAAATAGGGCTTTGGCAGGGCTTAGGGCACAGGACCCACCCTAAAGCAGCGGGATGGAATAAATGCTCAGGGTTGCCCATCTCCAGCCTCCTCCAGCCGACTTCACTGGCCAGGTTTTTCTGAGTTTTTGAGCATAGAAAAAAGGTACTTCCTATGGTCTGTGGAAGTGTGTGTGTGAGTGTTCATGTGCTCGTGTGTGTGCATGTGTATGTGTGTAAGAGTATGCGTGTGCATGTATGTGTGTGTGTGTGTCTTGTATGTACCTAGTTGTTTGCACATTGTCTCTCTCATTAGAATGTGAGCTCCTTTAGGGCAGGACTATATTTTTGCCTTTCTTTTTATCCCCAGAGCTTAGCACAGTATCTGGCACATAAGTGATTAATAAATGCTTGTTCACTGACTCTCTTGAGCCTCAGTTTTTTCATCTGTAAAATGGGAAAGATAACAGCTATAGATTCACAATAAAATGTGAGCCTACTGAGGGAAGGAACTGTGTTTTGACCTTTCTTTGTATCCCCAGAGTCTAATACAGTGACTGACACGCAGAAGGTGCTTAATAAATGCTTGTTGGCTCACAAATCAACCAATCAATAAGCATTTATTAGGTGCCTAATACGTTCTAGGCATTGTTCTAGGACTACAATGGAAGTAAAACAGTCCCTGTCCTCAAGGAGTTTATATTCTCTCAGAAGAGACAATATGTGTGTGTGTGTGTGTGTGTGTACATCTATATACACACATAGACATTTTTTATTATTATTGTTCAGTTGAGTCTGACTCTTCATGACTCCATTATGGGAGTTTCTTGACAAAAATACTGGAGGGGTTTGCCATTTCCTTCTCCAGTGGATTAAGGCAGATAGAGGTTAAGTGCCTTGCCCAAGGTCACACAGTTAGTAAGTGTCTGAGGCTGGATTTGAACTCAGGTCTTCTTGACTCCAGGCCCAGCACTCTATCCACTGAGCTACCTATATAAAATATATGATTCCCTACTCCACAAACCTCTTTTCACCCACTCTTATCACCTGCTTTTAGCAAAATCTCTGATATTGCTTCATTAATGCAGAATACAAATCTTTGCTCTTTTCCCCCTGGTGGGATGAGCCTTAAACTCCATTGGGGATGAAAAAGAAAGTCTGGTTCAGTGTAAAGAGCACTGGATAAGGAGATAGAAAAGCTAAACCTGTCACTTATTGCTTTCTCAGTCCTGGATTTCACTTGTACCATGGGCCTCATTTTATAGATTTGTTCTCATCTATAAAATGAAGAGATTGGCCAACACCACTAGTATCTCCTTCCCCCCAAATTATCTTGTGTATGTATATATATATATATACATACATATATATTAACATATTGTTCCCCCTATTTGAATGTAAGCTGCTTGAGGGCAGGGACTATTTCCTTTTTGTCTTAGTATCCCCAGCAACTAGTTCAGTGCTTGGTTCATAGTAAGCAATTAATAGGTGCTTGTTGATTGATAAATCATTTGATGGCTTCTGCGGTCTCTTTCACCTCTAGGTCCATGAGCCTTTGACCTGGGTTTGACTCACAGCCTGGCTATTTGCGTAACCTTGGGTCAGTCCCTCTGCCCCTGGGCCTTGGTTTCCCCAAGGGTCTCACAAGAGATTGAATCCGATTGCTCCTAGGGGCCCTCTCAGCTCTAAATCTTATGACAGTAGTTGGCCCATCCCAAAGGCATGTCTTGTATAAACAAATAGCTCAACTCGGAGAGGGGAGAGGGCTGGCTCTGAAATCCCTTTGATACATAAGAAGTCCAGTCTGGAGGCTCTCTCAGGGCCAGCTCATGACTGGGTCTTTATAAGTCAGGATTAATTCAAGGCCCAAGATTTAAAATTGGGCCACAGTCCCTTACCCCAGCTTCTTCCTGATAAGAAACTTCATTATGGTAGTGAAACTTAGAATCCCTGTTGGAAATGAGCCTCCCCAGGCTGGTCTTGGCACACTTAATCCAACTGTAGGACCTTGATACTAGGGGTCCCTGCTAGAGGTAGGGGTCCACTGTGACAGTCTCTGAGAGGCCATGATCGCCTCCACACCACAGACACATTGAATGTAAGATTTCAGGGAAGAAATTGAATTTCTATATTGTAATTAAGAGCTCCCCATTTCCACCACCCTCAGGACTTCAGGGCTTCAAGGGTGTTTTCATGACAATAGTTCCATGAGGAAAGGGAAATGATTATTCTTACTTGCATAAGGAAACTCAGGTTCAGAGAGGGCTAGTGACCTACTTAGAGGTACACAACAACTAGTATGTAGTAGGATTAAGATTCGAACCCAGGTCTTCCAACTCCAAATTTTTCTGTCATTTGCTAGATATGTGGTCAATGAACACGTTGCTCTGGGACTCTGTTTCCTCATCTGTCAAAAGTTAGGGTTGGACTATATGAGCGCTAAAGGCTCTCCCGGTTCTAAATCTATGATCCTATAATAATCCGTGAAGTAGAAGCCTAAGGATGGCTTCAAGACCTGCTTCATATCCCTATGTTCAGTTGACACTGGTTTTTGCATTTTGTAGCAAGGAAACGGAGGTCCAGAGAGGTTATTTGATCTACTCAAGGTCACACAGGAGGAAGCCCCAGACAGGGAATTCCTACCTAGGTCCCTGGATTCCAAACCCATCATTGTTTGCGTTCTCCTCAGCTGCCTGTCTTCTTATCATCTCTCAAAAAGTTCCGGGGCTCAGTCTCCCCTCCCCCCACTAACAGGAAGGTAAGGGGACCCGCTGGGTGAGATAGGCAGCCCAACCGCAGAGAATTGTTTAGAAATGACCTAAAAGGAGCCTGGCGCTGGGCGGGAAGCAAAACCAGCTTCACCGAGCAGCCCAGACCCTTGTAAAAGCGGAGGAAGCCACTGGTTGGTGTGAGCGGGTGCTGTACACCCACAAACCAGGCCGGCCTGCTCAGAGAGCAGCTGCTTCTGCTTCGGAGAGGCTGCCTCACTCCCCAGCCCTCCCCCCCCTTCCCCCGGGAGGGTCCGGCTCCTCCAGCCCCTCTGGAAACATCTGCCCCCTCGCAGGGGCATCGCCCCGCCCATGGGGTTGTGAGCATCTCTGTCCGGGAAAGGGGAAGTGACTCCAGCTGTCCTGAAAGCTGGTCTTGCACACTAAATGATTGCTAAAAATACTGATGGGAAAGAGGAAGGAAAAAACCGGAAGCAGGTCAGAGACTGGACGCCTGGAGCGCCAGGATCGCTGGGGTGGGGCTGCCTCTGAAGAGGTCATTGACAGCTGGGGAGACTGAATAATTAATCATGCAAGTGAGCTAAGCACTACACCCATCACCCCCATTTTCCAGATAAGGAAACTGAGGCTCAGAGAGGGGAAATTACTTGGGTTGCTCAGATGCTAAGTATCAGAAGCTGAATTTGAAGCCTAGGTCTCACTAACACCAAGTCCAGCATTCTATCTACTTTATCATGTTCAAGTCAAAAAGCATTTCTTTAAGCTCCTACTATGTGCCAGACACTGAGCCAAGCACTAGGAATAGCCCAAGGAGCTCACAGTCTAATACTGCCACTTACCTGGTAAAACTGAAAGGACCTTCTGATATTTATAAGCAGGGCAGTTCCTCTGAGCCACAGATTCCTATCTGTAAAGTAGGGTTAATAATCCATGACCTCCCAAGGCTGTCTGGGGGCAAGTATTTGGTAAAGCACTATATAAACTCGAGTGCTTCTGATGATGCCCTCTCTGTCTGATGATTTGCCTCTCTTCCCCTTTCTCAGTGCCAAGTGAAGCCCAGGGTTTATTTTGAGTTTGTTTTTGTTTTTTTTCTGAGTGTGGGTTTCTTGCATGGAATGACAACAGATGATCTCTACAGAGACCTACAGGGTGTC